GATTAGTGGGTGCGCCCCTGTTCCTAAAGTAAAAGGCGCACCCACCGCGCGCACACTGTTTACACACCCTAAACCCTAAACCCTAAACCCCAAACCCCTAAACCCTAAACCCTAAAAGGGCATGGCTGACTTCTACCGACCTTGGCCCCTCCTTTTGAGGCCGCCGACTCCCGAGTTTGTCTGGCGTTTTGGGTGCTTTCGGTGTTAGAGTTTGGCCCTAAACCCTAAACCCTAAACCCTAAACCAGGGTTTAGGGTTTAGGGTTTAGGGTTTTTGGGGTTGTAAGGCTTGGGGTTTCAGGGTCTGGAGCTTCGAGGTCTGGCGTTTTCAGTGCTTTCGATGTAGGGTTTTGGGTTTAGGGCTCTAGGGTCTAGAGTTTGGAGGTCTGGCGTTTTGGGTCTGGGGTTTCATCTTTAATCGTCTCAGGTGTTTGAGAATTCTTCGTGATTTTTGTAGGGGTCTATGGGTAGGAGTTGAGGATTGTTGTCCGTTTAGAGGTTTAAGGCACTCCCGAGGGAAAGTTGTGGATGGCGGTTGTGATTAAACACTACCTGCCGGCCGCCAATATCTCGTGCGCCTGGGGTTACGAGTCATTCGGTCGATGATATATATCCTGCATTACCCATAATCAGGAAGATACCATAATTCCCATAGTTTAGGGTCCTTAAAGGTAATGAATGCAGGATTTATATCATCAACCGTTATAACCTAGAGTTACGAAATTAAATTAAGAGCCTGAGATTCTAGGCTCCATGTTCTTCAACGCCCTCGGCCCGGAGCCACTCCTTGTGAACCCTTTCAGCAACCTCTAAACCCTTAAACCCCTAAACCCCTAAACCCTAAACCTTATAAATCCCTAAACCGTAAATCCCCTAAACCCCTAAACCCTAATAGTACGAAACCCTACACCGCCTAAACCCTAAATCCCTAATCCCTAAAGCAACCTGCATGGGACCTTTCTAACTACCAAGACAATGGATCCTCCGAGCCGTATAGGGGTGCCATAGTTTGAACAGACGTCTTGGGGTAGAGTATCAAATATCTTTCTCAATGGGGGGCGAACCGAACAGGATAAAAAGAAAGTAACTAGCCGTAACCCTGAACCCCTAAACCCCTAACCCTAAAGCCCTAAACCCCTAAACCCCTACACGCCAAACCCCTACACGCTAAACCCCTAACCCCTTCAGTTTGTACGGTTCACTTCAGAGTCCATCCCCGAGCCTCCAACACCTGTCACTCAATGCATTGTTTAGGGGTTTAGGAGTTTAGGGTTTAGGGGTTTAGGGGTTAGGGTTTACGGGGTTTGGGTTTAGGGGTTTAAGCTGTTTAGGCTGTTTAGGGGTTTAGGGGTTTAGGGGTTAGAGTTTAGGGTCTAGGGTTTAGGGGTTTAGTAGGCTGCTTATGGTTTAGGGCTTTAGGGGTTTTAGGGTTTTAGGGTTTAGGGTTTAAGGGCTTCGGGTTTAGGGGTTTAGGGGTTTAGGGTTTAGCGGGTTTAGGGGTTGAGGGTTTAGGGCTTAGGGGGTTTAGGGGTTTAGGGCTTTAGGGATTTTAGGGTTTAGGGGCTTTAGGGTGTAGGTTCACCCTAGGCTTTGAGTTCAGAGGGCTCCTGATCATCATGATGGAAGGCATGCTCCACAACTCAGGTGAATTCGAGCTTGGGGGTTTCTAGGAAACACCAAACTACAAACTAGAAGGTGAGCGCCGCAAACATTGAATAAGTACCCAGCAAGACTGAACAAAGACGCCGGTGCCGATACTTGGAGCGACTTTCCGAAAACTATCAGAAGCTGTACCATAGCGGTGCATGTTGGGGTCTAAGTGTCGCCTTTCAATCACCAATTTCTCGGTCTATGTTAGGCTTCCACATCAATCAGCTTAGCTGGAAGTGACCTCGACACGTGACCTTTTCGAAGAGCTCAGGTTGAATGTCTTGTCTGTTCAACTTGAAGAACCTGAGAAACGCTCTCGGTTACGACTATCTCCTTGTCAGCTCCGGCGACGAGCAGCGATTGCACGATCTCATGGTAGCCTGACCTGGGTTGTTTAGGGCTTCGGGTTTAACACTACTCTTACGGGTTATGGTTTGAGGGCCCTGCCAATGGATAGATACCACGAAAAGACTACCACAAAAAAAAAAAAACATGAGGGAAATTACAAGTTTGCACCTTAAAGACTCTGAGGGTGATCGTACGCAAGTTCGGGTTTTGGGTTAGGGACAGGGCCTATGTTTAGGCTTTCAATATCAAAATACAAAATACAGAATATCCCGAAGGCCTGCCTAGAAACTGAGCTGCATGCTGGAGAGCCGTGAAGCCCTGGACGTCTCTGTGATCCACGTTCGCCCTGGACACCAACAGACACTCCACAGCTGTAGTGTGTCCCTTGCGGGCAGCAGAGCAGAGAGCTGTTTCGCCGTTCTTGTCGACAAACTCCATGCCAGCTTTCGCAAGCAACAAATCACATAGAATATCGTTCTCCCCTCTCGAAGCAGCAAACATGAGAGCTGTTGCTTCGTCCTCATCTGTCATGTTAGGGTCTGCTCGGGCCTGCAAAAGCCAGAGTGCAATGTCTGAGTGGCCTGCAGCCGCTGCATGCATAAGTGCGGTTCGCTCGCAATCGTCCGTCAAAAGTGGATCTGCCCGGTTGTTCAGCAGCAACCGAACGATCTCCTTATGGCCTCCTTGGGATGACATGATGAGAGCTGTAGCACCCTCTTCGTCTGGCAGATCTTTGTCTGCCCCTGCTTCCAGCATCATTCTCAGTACGGCTACATCACCAGACCGCGCCGCATAATCCACAATCTCCTGGGCTGCTGTTGAGAAACGTACACAAAGTTACTATATAACAAGAATTATTATTGTTATCACTATTGACTAGAAATCATATCCCCATCATGGTTTCTTAAAAATACGTTCCTTAAAAGCAACCCAATCTCCTCAGCAACCTGCTGCTGGTTGGAAGCTCGTCCAGGAGGTGGCTTGGGAAGCTTCTTCAGGACCAGCTGCAAGTCGGGAAACCCCTCCAGCCTGAGGGTTTAGGGCTTAGGGTTTCTTGCAAACCATTCAAACCTGCTGTCTGCCCTTTCTTAAGATATGATATATGATAAACTTGAAAATCTTATTAAGATATGATATATAACATATAATATTATATACAAACTTGAAAATTCTGTTCAAGAGCCACGAACTCGCCTCGCAGTATCCTTGAGGATGCTGTTATCACGGAGGCACAGGATCTGCTGCATGCAAACGGGGTAGCTGTGACTCGCGCGCAAGCGTTGCTTGACTTGCAGGATGTCCCAATCTCGAATCTCTTCTCTGCCTTAAGCTACCAAAACCTACTTTTTTGTAGGGTCCCTATAAATTCTATAGTGGGGTTTATAATAAGAACCCACAAAAAAGTAGGTTATGGTAGCTCAAGGTGCTCCAAGCATGCAGCTCTTCGCCAGACATACCTGGGCAATAGTTCGCTCATGGGCCTCGTGCTCAGGAGGAGGTACTCACTCTGCCGTCCAAAGACAATAAAGCCTCAACAAATACCTCGAAAGCAACTCCACATAAAATCCTGATAAACTCCTGAAAGAGCTAGGAAACCCCTACACAAACACCAAAAAACAACCCAGGATCACCAACAGCCACCCCCCGGTGAGCTCAAGCCTAACCCCCAGACCGAGACACTCCACACGCGGAAGGTCGGCGTCGTCGTGTCGGGAGGCTCCGCCATTTTCTCGAAGCTCCGGTTCTAGTGATATTCTTGGGGCTTTGGGGTTCTAGGGGATTAGCACTGAAAAGCTTCACATGACATGATCGTTAGGTCCAAAAATCTCAGCAAGTCGGCTCTTAAACTTTTCGGGTAAGTCCTCCATCATCAGTTCCAGGAGCGGTCCTAGATGGCTGTGCGGCTATGCGCGGATTTAGGTTCAATGTGGTTCCCCGTCGAACCTCCAGCAGAAGCCAGCGCAGCAAACACGTCGAACTTCATACAGAGCATAACCCTAAGGGTCCATGTACCCAAATAGCATAAAGTTTGGCCTTAATATGCCCAACTTCGGTACTTTAGGGCCAATGTATCTACTATTTGGGTCACATGGACCCTTAAACCTCAAAGCCCAGACCCTTATGGTACCCTAATAGAACCCTTGTGGTACCCTTAAAGAACCCCTAAAGGAACCATTTATATGGACCCTTAGGGAAACATACACCCACCCCACCCTAAACCCTAAACCCTAGACCCTAACCCCTAGACCCTAAACCCTAAACCCACCCCATACAGCCCCGCCCCGAGGCACCTTGCAACGGAGCCCCGGGAGCTGAGACCCGGAAGCTTCTCGGACCAAAACCCGAAAGCCCTAAACCCTAAAGCCCTAAAGCCCTAAACCCTAGGAACCCTAAAACCCTAGGAACCCTAAAACCCTAAAACCCTAAAACCCTAAAAACTCTAGGAACCCTAAAACACTAAAACCCTAAAAACTCTAGGAACCCTAAACCCTAAACCCGAACCTACACAATAGCTTTGTTGTAGAAGCCTCATGGACGGAGCTTATGGAACCTGACCCCTAAACCCTCAACCTCAATCCTAAACTCCTAAACCCTGAAAAAGACATAGACTCTAAACCCCACCTTCATCTAACCCCTAAATGAAAAATGTTTATAGAACCCTAAACACTACACCCGAACTAGACCCATAACCCTAAACCCTAAACCCAAACTGAACCCTAAACCCTAAACCCTAAAGCCGAAACCCTAAACCCTAAACCCTAAACCCAAACTAAACCCTAAACCCTAAGCCCGAAACCCTAAACCCAAACCCAAATTGCGTCGAAGCGCTGGCGCTCTCAAGGCGACTGTTCAGCGACAGGTCCAGGGTGGGAAATGCTGGATCTCGGCAACTCCTGGGAGCATCTCCAAGGGGGCTCCTTTACAGGGGCCTAGGGCTTCGGGTTTTCCGGGTTCTTTTTTGAGGGATTTAATTTAAGTTACCACAATAGGGCTTAGGGTTTAAGGGTTTAGGCTTATAGGGTTTAGGGTTTAGGGCGTTGGGTTTTCCGGGTTCTTATGAAGGGATTCAATTTAAGTTGCCACAATGGGAATCTATAGTAGATAGTATGCAGTATGGGTTCCTTATTGTGGTAACTTAAAGGCTCTGACCTCTTTTTGCTCCCTGTCCCAAAGCGGAGCCGGTGACTCGATGCTGGGCCCCCCCAATCTGTACGGGAGGAGCTCGCTGCACCGCTAAATCTCATCTGCCGGCCGCAACCTGAATTGCAGCATCGGAAATCTGATCGCGCCCCGGCGGCGAGCTTCACCCTCGAGCCACTCGATTGAGTCGATCTGCCCCCGCTGCCTGGGCCGAAGCGTACTCAGCTGCCGCAGCTTGAAGATCTCGATCTCACGGCGCCACGCGACAACGGCCAACCGCAGTCTGCGGTGGAATCCTTTGCAGCAGATCGCCAACTGGACCAGGTCGCACGTGACCTCGGCAGCCTCATCGAACTCGCTTTACCCCACGGCTCCTTTTTAAGGGGCTCCTTCAAAGGGATCTTCACTGGGTTTCTATAGTGGTTTCTATAAGGTCTCCCCTAGGGGCTTGGGGGTTCAGGGGGTTCGAGCCGAGAGTTCTGAGCGGTTTAGTCTCGGCGCCTTCATCTTGAAATAGGCTCAGCATACTATCGTTTAGGGTTTAGGGTTTAGTTTGGGTTTAGGGTTTAGGGTTTAGGGGTTTAGGGGTTTAGGGCTTAGGGCTTAGGGGTTTAGTTCAGGGTTTGGGGTTTAGGGTTTAGGGTCAAGAAGCCTCCAGAAATAAAGCACTACTCTCAGGAGCGGGCAATGAAGAGCGTCCGGATTTGTGGGTTCTGGGCTTGGCTTCCCCCGGGATTTGGAAGCTGATTCTGTTAAAGGAAACTGCAGGTGGGGAGTTTAGGGTATGTAGGGCTTCTATAAGGCCTCTATAAGGTATATATTCTATAAGGCTCCTATAATGGTAACTACTCACCTGAAAATGTCCTAGATTCTGGGCGAGAACGCGAGGGAGGCCTCGACGGTACCCCCCTAAACCCTACCCTATGATACCCTGCTTGTGGTATGACCCCTAAACCCTAAACCCCAAACCTTAAACCCTAGACCCGAAACCCGAAACCCTAGACCCTAAACCCTAAACCCTAAGCCCAAAGCCCTAGACCCTAAACCCTAGACCCTAAACCCTAAACCCTAAACCCAAAGCCCTAGACCCTAAACCCTAAACACCAAGAGTTTCAAACAAAGAAAGCCTGGCTCAGCTTACGGGGCCCCCTTCCGGTGGCAGCCGTTACTTCAGATGCCACGCACGCCAAACTCCGAAGCCCTGAACCCCAAAACCCTCAGAGGCTCAAAGACTTCCGAATCCCGAAAGAAGAAGACAATCTAAGTCGCAAACCCTAAACCCTAAGCCCTAAATTACTAAACCCTAAACCCTAAATTACTAACCCATAAACCCTAGACCCCTAAATTATTAACCCCTAAACCCCAAAACCCTAAAACCCTAAACCCTAAACCCCTGACCCCGAAACCCCTTAACCTTAAAGAATCCCTACAGATCCCCTTTAAAGGAGCCCATAAACGGAGGCCCAGGCAGCTCGAGCGGCTCGACCTCACTGGGCGCAGCCAGGTCCACTTGGAAGAACGGACCGAAAGCCCAGTCCTCTCTGTTAGAGAGGTTTAGGGCTCTTTAGGATTCTAGGGCTTTAGGGTTCTAGGGTTTTAGGGTTTTAGGGTTTAAGGGTTAAGGGTGTTAGGGTTTAGGGTTTAGGGCTTTAGGGTTTAGGGTTTTAGGGTTAAGGGGGTTTATCTAAGTTACCAGTCCTCTCTGTTAGGGCTCCTTGAGAGGTTTAGGCTTCTAGGGCTCTAGGGCTTTGGGGTTTAGGGTTTGGGGTTTAGGCTTCAGGGCTCTAGGGCTTTAGGGTTTAGGGTTTGGGGTTTAGGGTTTAGGGCTCTGGGGTTTTAGGGTTTTGGGGCTTTAGGGTTTTAGGGTTTGGGGTTTAGGCTTTAGGGCTTAGGGTTGAGGGTTCTGGGGCTCCTTGAGAGGTTTAGGGCTTTAGGGTTTTAGGGTTTAGGGCTCTAGGGCTCTAGGGTTTTAGGGCTTTAGGGTTTTAGGGTTTTAGGTTCTAGGGTTTAGGGTTTCAGGGTTTAGGGTTTAGTGTTTAGGGTCCCTTGAGAGTTTAGGGTTTAGGGCTCGGCATGTAGAGTTTCGGGTTTGGGGCACAGGCTAATTAAGGGTTTAGGGCTTGCAGTTTTATAGGGGGTTAAGGGCCAGTCCTCCCCTTTTAGGGGCATGCTGCAAGGAGAAGCTTTGGGCTGAGGGATGTACTCCAAAGCCACACGTCGACGCCTCCATTTTTTTAAATTGAATTCGAACCAACGGTCACTCTAGCGGCAAAACCGGTGACGGTGACTAGACCCAAAAGCCTCTCACCCTAAACCCAAAACCCAAAGGCGTAAACCCTAAACCCCTAAACTAAACCCAAAACCCTAAACCCTACACTTCTAAGTTCAAACCTATCAAATCCCAAAGCTCGAGGCCCTGAGCTCTTTGGGGCACCATCACTTGGTCGTCTCGCCTCTGTCAGCACTGCCAGCGTCAGCTCCGAGGGCATGAACCTCTTTAGGGTGTCGAGGCCGCAGGGTTTTCGGATTTGGGGTTTTTAGGGGTTTTAGGGGTTTAGAGGTTTTAGGGGTTTAGGGTTTCGGGTTTGGGTTTTGGGGCTTTAGGGGTTTAGCGTCTAGGCTGGGCATATAAGGTTCAGGGGCTTAGGGGCTTGTTGAGGATTCAGGGTTTCGGGGGTCGTGGGCACCGAGTTTCATGGTGTTGGGGCGGGGGGGTTTCCATGGCTCAGGGCTTCGGCCTTGGCATTCAGGATGTAGAGGCTGAAGGGCTCTTACGGCTTATCTTATGGGCAATCGCATGGCATACACGCAGTTACACTGACCCCATTAACAGCACGACATCTCCGACACATCGCACAACCAAGGTGCTACTGCGCTGGAAGTTCGCCCCTTGTCATTGTGATACGGTTGTACTACCAGGCTTTCGCTTGTTACTCTGACCTTGCGCTATCTTTCCCCAGTAGAATTGAAACTTCTCAGCCACTTCGCTAACGCCCCAATCCCTACTAAACCCTAAACCCTAAACCCCAAACCCTACCAACCTACATCTCTGGACCCTAAACGTTAAACACTCATAACCCCTGTCCTGAAACCTGAGCCCTACGTC